TTTTGTTATAATTCTGGGCTTTTGCCCTGGCTTATTTTACGTGTTACAGATTATTTTGCTACTTGATTGTACATGCCACGTTTGCAATTCGTAAAACTCACAGTTCAGTGCATGGCTAATTATGAGGCCCTCATGTGCTCTATGCAACAGAGAAGAATGATTTAAGTGTGAAGAGGCGTGTGATTCAGCCTAAGTCCCACTTTTGTAAGTGTGATTACATGTGAGATCCCACTTTCTAAAAAATTAAAGTGTGATTCACACATCTTTCATGTACTTTCATGCATTTTTCACACTGTATATCACACATTGCTGAAGTGTGAAAAAGTGTGATTTAAGGTCATTCCACTGAAATAGAACCTGCACTGAGATTTTTGTGAAACTTTGCCTATTGATTGTTTATATTATAGGAACTTCAATTTTGAAATAAAAATGAGGGGTTCCCATGTTCGTTTAGGAGCAACAGCACCTTGTTTATACCCAATAAATCCTTATGATAGCACCATGATTGTAGTCACGATTGCTTGCTAAATTCACGTTTCCAACGATTGTTTTTTGTTCTACACTGAGAATTGGTCCATATCTATTTTACACAGAGAAAGTTTTTACTCAAATCAAAACAACAGAATAAAAATGATAGGTCACCACACTCGTTTTTGAGAAAATGAAGATTTACCTCTATGGCAAGGTCCAGCCATTAAGAAAAAGCCGCCATTTTTTAATGCGTGTGCGCTAATCACGCGTGAAATTATGCGCAGTAGGGATGCGCAATGCAATACTGGGGAATGACCTTAAGTGTGATTCACACTTACAAAAAATCACACGAGTGATCACACAGGTGATCACACTTAGAATCACACTAAGGTAAATTAGGGTTAATCATAACAACTACAATTTCCTCCAATGTGATTGTTGCATAAACTGCTGTATTTTTCTCTAATTAGTCTGCAAAGTTGTAATCGGACAGTGTAATTGGACAGTTGGCTGTAATCGGACACCTGTAATCAGATAGTTACATGAACCAATTATTTTAAGTCCTCTCCACTTAATCCACCAATCACAACATTGATTACAATCACTATAGTGACCAATTCAAGAGACTGACTTTGTAAAATTGTTGAGGTCTCTGGTTTAAGAAAAAACTATTACAAGCCTGCAAATAATTTTCAACTATGAGCAGGTCATTTGTCAGGCTAAGGACAAATTTTGACCTGACAAAAAGCCAGTCTGGTCGGACAAATTCTTTTTTGTTGTTAGAAATTAAAAATAAGAGACATTTGAGACATTTTGGTATTTGAGTGTGGACCCTTCACCAAAATGCTGGTTGCAAATTTGAATGGCTTAAAATGAAAGTAAAGTCAACTGAGTGTAAAATCAATACTAGCGTGAGAAAGGGGACCTTTATATTAAGTCAGGTATTATAGTATTTTACCCGTGAAAAATTGACAAATTGACAAATGTTTGTACCCCTAGTCAAGGCTGTGCTCTAGCAGCGCATGGTTGCCTCAGGTGACTGGCTTCCATCTTTGGGTGACAAGAAAAACATACCTGGTTGCCCGGCCGGGCAACCTCCTTTTGGAGATTTAAATTTATGTGAAAACAGTCTTGTAATAATTTGTCTTTCCCTTTTTGATTTCTGGTGTTGTATTGAAGTTTACAAGGCAAAATGGCTCAATTCAGAATGTTTAAATCCATCTGTGAAGTCAAAACATCAGTCATTCAATGGCTCAGTTTGATGGGTATGTTTAAAACTGACCTGCAGTGATACCGACAGCAGTGTCCTCTTATACTTTGTATAGCATCAACAAAAAGTCTTCTCAGGTCTTGTGGTTTGTACAATGTGCACGAAAAGTCCCTAATTGAAGGAGAATGTGCACTAAATTATCAGAAGCATAGAGGGAAAAGAGGGAAAAAGGACTTAATTTTTCGATATATATCAATCATTTTAACTCAAAAAAAAGCCTGTAAATTCTCTCTTTCTTTGTAGACTTTTGAGAAAAGTGTTACATTATTAATTTCATCTATTAATAATTATTAATAAGTATTGCAAAGACTTAAATGTAAAATTATTTTCTCTCCATTCAAACTTAGAAATATGTTTAGTCCTAAAGATTTTGTTCCAGATTCTTTTAAATCACCTGTTGTTTATCTAGTATACTTGTGCGAGCTTTGGGGTTCGTTATATTGGTGAAACCAATAGTCATTTTAAGACGTGTTATAATGAGCATCTTTTTAACCGCGTGGCCATGGGCCGAGCTCAGTTCATGTTCTACCCGTGGTTTATTTATTAACCGCGCAGCCATGGGCCGAGCGCGGTTCATGGTTTACCCGTGGTTTATTTTTTATTTTTTGTTTTTTTTTATTTTTTTAGTTTTGTCGGTGACCAGACCCAAACTTCCACTCGGCCAAATTTTGAATGACGCAACCTGTGACGTTTACTCGCCAAAAGCTGTTAAAACATCAATACAAGGACAATGTTACGGATATTGTTTTCTTTACTTTGGTTAAAATATATTTTCTTTTGGTTTTATCGAAGCGNTTATTGTGTTCTTTTTAACATTACTGAAATAAATTTTCTTTTGGTTTTATCAAAGCGTTGGATTCAAAGGGAATAAGAAATACGCTAAACAAAGGTATTACATCAGCCATGGAATGCGCTGACGTTGCAGCTTTCACTTTAGCTATGTGACAAATAAGATTGTGTTTACTTTGCAAGTTTATTTTGCCAGGAGCAACAGTCTTTTTAGTTTTCCGAGTATTTTTCGTATTTTAGACAAGAGAAGTGAATTGTTGTGCTGTTTTATTGAAGCGAGTTCACAGATCGGAAGGAAAATTAAATATTTGCAAGCCAGGCAAAGAATGTGTTAGAACACGCAAGGGTTACGTCTTTGGTAGGGAAATAACCACCATACTAAAGATAGCCATGGATAACGCAATTCTTGAGTTATGTGACTCGTGTGACTTCTTTGCTAGCTCTTTATTCAAGGGAAAAAAACAATTAAATTTAATCGTGGCTTTTAAGAAAGAAAGCTGTTGGTAATAGTGTTCGTATCTTCATGCCCATACATATCCCGAAGAAAGTTCCAGGTTAAGACCATTACGTCATCGGAGATTTCACAACGGCTACGACTGATGGTGCAATAATAGAGTTTGTGTTGATCAAGTGATATGATGTCTACAGTATCAAAAGAATCATCAAGGACTACTTTGGAATGTGCACTGCATTGCGACTTTAGTGGTAAGAAAACAGTTAAATTTTGAAAGCGCGCTTATAAGATCTAACAGATCTTCTTGTTTTTAACTGCGTAGTCGTGGGCGAAGCGTGGTTCATGGTTTACCTGTGGTTTATTTTTTATTTTTTGTCGGTGACCAGACGCAGACCTCCACTCAGCCAAATTTCGAGTCATGCAATGTGTGATGTTTGTTCGCCAAAAGCTGTTGAAACATTATATTAATACACGGACAATTTTACAGATATTGTTTTCTTTGTTGTGGGTAAAATATATTTTCTTTTGGTTTTATCAAAGCGTTGGATTCGAAGGCAAATACTAAATACGCTAAAAAGAAAGGTATTACGTCAGCCATGGAATGCGCTGACGTTGCAGCTTTCACTTTCGCTATGTGACAAATAAAATCGTGCTTACTTTGCAAGTTTATTTCGGCAGAAGCGATGGTCGTTAATTTATTTGCAGTTTTGCTAGTATTGTGGTTTTAGACAAATGAAGTAAATTCTTTGGCTGTTTCATCGCAGCGAGTTCATAGATCGGAATGAAAATTAAATATTTGCAAGCCAAGCAAAGAACATGTCAGAACATGCAAGGATTACGTCATTGGTAGGGAAATAACCACCATACTAAAGATAACCGTGAATATCGTAATTCTTCAATTATGTGACTTGTGTGACTACTTTGCTAGCCCTTTACTCATTGAAAAACCAATTAAATTTAATCATGACTTTTAATAGTGTTATTATTGTTGTGTTCGTATCGTTCATGCCCATATATATCCTGAAGAAAGTTCCAGATTAAGAACATTACATCATCAGAGATTTCACAATGGCTACGAGTACGACTGATGGTGCAATAATACAGTCTGTGTTGATCAAGTGATGTAGTGTCTACAGTAATCAATGAATCATTAAGGATTACTTTGGAATGAACACTGCGTTGCGACTGTAGTGCTAAGGAAACAGTTAAATTTTAAAAGCGCGGTTATGAGATCTAACAGATCTTCTTGTTTTTTTAGTTTTGTCGGTGACCAGACCCAAACTTCCTCTTGGCCAAATTTTGAGTCACACAATGTGTGATGTTTATTCGCCAAAAGCTGTTGAAACGTTAATACACAGACAATTTTACGGATATTGTTTTCTTTGTTGTAAGTAAAATATATTTTCTTTTGGTTTTATCGAAGCGTTGGATTCAAAGGGAATAATAAATACGCTAAAAAAAGGTATTACGTCAGCCATGTAATGCGCTGACGTTGCAGCTTTCACTTTCACTAGGTGACAAATAAGATGGTGTTTACTTTGCAAGTTTATTTTGCCAGAAGCGACGGTCATTAATTTATTTGCAATTTTGCGAGTATTTCTTTTGGTTTTAGGCAAATGAAGTAAATTCTTTGGCTGTTTCATCGCAGCGAGTTCGGTGATCAGAGGGAAAATTAAATATTTGCAAGACAAGCAAAGAACATGTCAGAGCATGCAAGGATTACGTCATTGGTAGGGAAATAACCACCGATCTAAAGATAATCAACAATGATTTAGATAAACATATACAGGCAAAAACTAACGATAGATAAATCCGACATTTTGGCGACATCTTGGCGCCATTGTCAAGGGAAACTAATTAAATATGCGATTTCAAGAGTAACTAAGAGTTCAGAGTTTCTAATTTGCATAAGTTAGACAAAGACTTTTGCGCGAACTGAGTCTGATTGTACATTTAAACACGGTCGTAATTGTTTAATGAGTAACATCTCATTAATGAGACAATCAAACTTGTTGT